TAACTTTAAAGGTAATCTTAAATGCTAGAACATACTATAATAGTAGCACTTAAGACAGGGTACCCCAGGATTCTCAAACTTAAATTGAAGACTTTTTATGACCTTTTTAATACTACCTAGGATGAAATTTATTGCCAACTTCACTGCCGTATAATGGAAAATCGGTTTGAATTTTAAGCTTGAGAAAATTATTGTTTACGAAGTTACCTGAATTTTATAAAACATTTTATTATAATACATTCATATTTAATACACTTTACACGCTTTTTGGGGTGTGTTTGTACTTTGATAACATAAAATGAATCAAGGTGGTGGGGATATAGGGGTTCAGATTCAGATGATACACTTAACTCACATGCACGATTCACTATATTGGGTTCACGAGAACAAAACAAGAAGATATTTTAATACTATTTTGATGAAATACTCAATACTGAAATATATAAACGGGGGTCTGTGTGTCCTCCCCTAGAACATTTGGAGCATTAAACACTTAATTTCCTGCATTCTGGAGACATTTTCTGCACCAATGGTAGTTTATGGTAGAACTGTCTTTATTTATATAAAGTGAAACATAAAATTCAGGTGACAATTCAAACAGAATATAATGCAGTAATCAGAAGCTCGTTTTTTAGCTTAAATAACTTTTTTGGACAACGCACATTTGTTTCTTCTTTATTTACATTACATTGCATGCTTTCTTATTGTGCAAATAAACTTTTCTCAGAGCTTTTTCATTTCTTTTTTTAACATTTCTTGATGCAAGCCATTTTTCAGAACATATTTAACAAATTTTAAAAAAGTGATGGAGACATGTCCCCAGCGTCCCCAGTGTAAATGACACCTATGAAATGAATACAATATTTGTGCACTAAGAACTCTTAAGGTGTGAAATAAAAAATATAAAATATTAATATAATTAATAATTAGTTACACCTTGGCTTGATAAGGTAATGTAATATAGCCTAATATGTAGGGATGAAACGATTACCGGTTTAAATTCAACCATGGTAAAATTCCCGACGGTTATTATTACCGTACACATTTTATTTTAATTACCATGGTAACCGGTTAACCGCGCTATTATAATCTCACGGCAAACACTGTCCAGCGTCTCCCAGAAGCAGGCGCTTCATATGTTTATTTTTTATGCAAACAAAATGGCAATTGTATTTGTAGTTTTCAATATAAATATATTGTTGAAATAGTTTCAGTGTGTGTATCAGTACATTTTTAGGCACATTTTTACAATACCGTGATAATACTGATAACCGTGATAATTTTGTACACTATAATCATGAAATGAAATTTTCATACCATTTCATGCCTAATAATATGCCAATGTAAATGCCGATTGCTTCAGTGATTATTTATCCTGTTCTGTTTTTGCATCTAAAGGCTGCTTGAAATACAGATTTATAAAGATTTGGCTTGAAAACAGCGAGGATAAGGCTCTGGTTTGTTTTTTCGTTGTCCCGGTGATCGGCGCATCTGGGTGATGTAAGTTTAATGTGTGTTAGCATGTTGGCTGTTTCCATTCACATAACGTTACCCTACAGCTTGTGTTGATAACGTATGTGGTGACATTCAAAGCCTCGCGAGCCGACTGTACATGACCGATTCAGGACTTGGTTTGCGGGTTTGCCGTGCGATTCGAAAGGAACAGCAAAATGCAGCGGACCCTCCTCAACATTTTGTGGACTTTTGAACTTGAACACAATTAGATTTTATCTACAGCTCATTTTAAATGACTAAAAAAGTTTATCAACTTATGTCAGAATTGCTTTGATCAATTAACTTCAAAAAATGTGATGAAACATAGGAAAAGAAAGTGTTGACATTTTGTGGCTTTGGTAAGAATTAAACTCTTACCCCATATTACCCTAATAATAATTTTCTAAAGCAGGTAAAATCATCTCCAAAAAAGAAACCGCCTGAAGCACTGTGGAAGTGTTATTTTTAAATAAAGATGGATAAAATGTTGTCTCTATTATCTAAAGTCACAAACCAAGTTATCATAACCCTCTCCCTTGTTTCCACTTTCCTTTTGACCCTGTATCATAAAGACAGACACCTTATTAAAAAGCTAATCAGTCATGTATTGGCATCACGAACATCATTCATTAATTTATTCAATTCAAAGCTTCACACACCAAAGCCATGTTGCCGTTATAATCACTCTGCCTGTTTTACATTTATTGTCCACTTGATGGCACAGTAGAGCAAATGAAGCACCGTGAAGCTTCGGCCCATGAGTGAACCAACTGGATGGAAAGCTTCAGTGCTTCATAAAGCTTCATCTCGCCATCACTAGTTTTCCCGTCCGACATTTCCGCTTTTTGGCGGCAAAATGCATTCGGGGATATCTGGCTATCCGAAGTCCACACAAGTCACCACCGATGCAGGCTCGGTAAAACGGGCGGAGCAAGTACACATTCGACTGTACTTGGCTAGATCATAGACTGTATATAAGAAATGAACGTAGTCATCGTGATGTCACCCGTTGGTTTGTGGACTGCCATTTTGAAGCCTCGAGTTTGGCCGATAGGTCGCCGCCATGTCGAGTTTTTGCAACCAGGAAGTGCCCGGAAGTGACGATACGGCGGAGCGAACGGCCGTGTGTGGAGCTAGCTTGCTTAGCTAGGTGCAACTGTAACTCACGTTAACTGTCATTTTAACAGGGCTGATAACTTTGTCTAGCGAACAGTCTTAAAACTAAATGTACTCACCAGAGAAAGTGAACAGCCGACTCCTAATAAGCTTTTTCAATGGTGCTGGTTAAATTTACACAGTACCGAGGGTACGAGTCGGCTCTAGCCTGATTGACAGGTCGCCATGGTAACGACTTGTCAATCATAGATAACCCTGAAACATACTCTGTTTTTTGGTCAAAATAAATGGGACCATAATTTACTAAATGAACATCATTCTGTATTGAGGAAGACTTGAAACTAGCGACTGAGACCATAAACTCATCAGGAAAGTGTTTACTGGGGTAATTATTCAGTCATTTTCCCATTATTTCTAATGGAGCCGGACTTCTTTTTGCAACCAGAGGAGTCGCCCCCTGCTGGATTTTCAATAGAATGCAGGTTTCAGGGACTTCCGCATTCGCTTCATATTGTAGACCGGAAGCTTCCCGCTTGGCCTAGATGCGGACTTTTGAATTGGACCGATACTTTGGCTGCGACTGATGACGTTTCACAAGTCCACAAGAACACGAGTACAGAAAAGAATGCAGATTGAGAAACAGTCAGGGTCTTCGTCTTATACACAACTGTCTCTGCATTGCTGATGTAACGTTAACTGACCAGGAACCTGAAGCTCCGCTGTTTCATTAGTGCTCGCCATAGTGGGATTGATTCGCACGGCGATCGCTTGTTGAGCTAATCTCAGCGCCACTGCCCTCAGCCTCGTCCCCCAACTTGTCCGTGTCATCTGGCCTCCTGAACTTCAGACACTTGCCCATTCTGAGGCGACGAGCTAACGTTAGCTTGTTAGTAGCACTTCAGGGATGTTTTGTTTTCTTTCCTAACAACTGACTAATTTTTGCCAGAACTCGTGCACTGCAAGCACTCCCCAGCCCAGTGCGTAAAGCTAAACTGTAACCTGTAAGTCAGATAGGAAGCGATTTACACTGCGCTGGCTGCGGGGTTCAGTGCAAAACTATTATGAACTTTGACTATGGCATGCGCACAAGGTCGCCAAGCAGTGTGCAGTGCTGTGCTTGCGCTTTGCTTGACGCAGCAATAAACCACTGTGGCGCGGCGCAAGCCATTGAAAATAATGGGTTTCACAGCCCAGCAGTGCTGTCGTCGCAATCTGTCTGAGGTAACCTGTACTGCTGTTTAAAATCCAAGTCACACCAAATGCAGTAATTTGTAAAGTAACACACAAAAAGTATTTATTTATGACGTTATGGCATTTATTTAATCCTATGAAAAGTAAAAATTTAATACTTTGTAAATGAAATCTAATACATTTAAACGGGCTATATGTAAGTTTTACATTACCTTATTGTCAATGGGCTCAAAACTCACTTGTAAATAAAGCACACGCCTGTTTTCTCTGTTGCTTGCATCAGCCACTATTCTGCTTTTAATGTGGGGTCTCCGGGTCGGATTCAGCCCTGTGCGCGCTCCCGAGCCTCTCTCACTACAGCGACAACACGGCAGCTAACGACATGCAGTCCACTAACACCATAAAACAACAGTCTCACAGCAAAACACAGATTCCACGTAAGGATACAAAACAACAATAAAGTTTTGTGCTGAAATCCATTAGACCAAACAGGTTCAGATGATGTCGAGTAAGAACAAAGTGAGCATTAGTAAAACTGGAGAAACAAAGAGAGCAGTTGCTTATGTTATCCGGTGCAAAGTTATATCGCTTTCCATATTACTTTAACAACTAACGCGACCCATGTTACTTTCCTGTATACCACTGTTGATTTAGCCTGCAAGAAAGGATGTAACGGTAAAAAGCAAATGTGGAGCGATTTGTTTACTAACGTTAGCCTATAGTCAATCAGCCAGCTAATGCTACGGTAGCTCGGACCTGCCGCTGTTTGCTTCGTAACGTTCACTTTATGTTTATTGTGGTTTTACTCAGGTAAACAGCTTCTCCACCTCTCAGTTGCTGTAACTAACGTGACCCACATAATATAACAAAACGGTCACAACAACACAGAGGAAGGAAGAGCCATCCACTAATACTAGTTACAGTTAAGTTACTTATTGCGGTCTAACGGTTATGTGAGACACAATCTTATCATATCCAGTCCAGTTCACTAACCGTTTCATATCATCCAATACATGTAGCTGTGCTGACATTGCTGAGCATCCGGTGAAAGATACACAGATAGTAAAGATAGTTATTGAAAAGCAGCAGGCGAGCTAACGATGTAGCACGTCGGCTAAATGCAGTAAATGTAACGAGCATGGATTAGTTCAACCTGCAGCTGATAAAACTATTACTGTAACGTTGCAGTGGGAGTTTACCTGAGGTCCCAGCTCTGTCTACAGCCGCTGTCACTGCCTTTTTTCGGGAGGATTGTGCAGATATGCGGCTCGCTGCACTGAAAAAAAAAGGTACGGCGCCGGTGTTGATCTGCCTCTGAGACGGGAATCTTGAAGTAACAGAGCCTGAACATATCTGAGTGAAAAGCCACAGCTGGCATGCTGGTGTTTCTGCGTTTATTGCAGGATTTCTGTATGAAATCGGTTGTGTTTCGGGTTATGCTCGCTCATGAGTTCAAGCAAGCGAGCACATGTACGAGCACACACCTGGTTGCAATCTTAGAACCGCGCCGCTAGTGGCCGCTGGAAACTCCATAATGCCCCTTTAATTTTTCTTAACGTTTATTTTCAGAAATCGAAATTTAAGACTTTTAAAATACTTTTAAGACCCCGCGGGTACCCTGTGAGAAAAGTCAGAAAGTCACCCACTGACTCAGTAATGCCAGTGACACAGAAATATCAATCTTCCGTTTGCTGATATTGCATAACAGTAGCCACCATACGCTCCTGGTCAAACCAGACCTCTGAGTGTTTTGAATTAAGCTAAATTGTGTTTGATGGGTTGTCATTTGTTTGAAGACCATGTCATTTCTTCTCACTATAAGAAACAATAATGTATTTGTACCATTTTTCCTATAATTGATACTTTTCCAGTGAGAAACTGTCAAGACAAAATAAATCTTGCAAAAAAATGCAAATGCACACATGACGGCTAAAAATAACAAACATCATTACCATTATTGTAATGATTGTCATTATTATCATCATGTTTTTGCCTGATGTAGTTTAAACTTCTCAATTTACAGCATAAATATCGTTGTAATCATTTCGGCTTCACAATTCAGTCACATCGAGAACGATTTGTATGGACTTAAGTAATTGGACCAAGAATCCAATGAGACAGTTTCAGCGTGGTGATTGCTTCCAGGAGACAGCGCTGCTTGAGTGTTGTGGAGGGGTTGTATCTAATGTGATTAGCTGTCTGCTTCAAATTAAACACGAGCCAATAATGAAACTGGGGACAAAGTATCTCATTGTCCTTAACATCCCTACAGATATCCTCACTTCTCAGTTTCTTTCTATACTTGACAGCTTTTGTTCCACCTTTCATTTCCAGCCCATGTCCTTTTGAGAGACAGACAGTAGAGAAGAGGTATAAGTGTGTGTGTGTGTGTGTGTGTGTTTGTGTTTGTGTGTGCGTGTGATTCTGTATGTGTGTGTGTTTTGGGGGTGCAGGGTGGGTGAAAGGAGGGAGCACTCAAATCCCAGTGGCTCTGGGGAGCTGTCAGAACTGATAGTGCTCTATCACTTGCAAACGGAGGTGCAAAATTGGGCAGAGCTGAGCACTGCGCAAAGCAGAGGATGATGGTCCCTCTGTCCACTGAAGCCTGACTGACTGAGATGGAGAGACACGGAAAGTGTTCAACCAGCTGCCTCACAACTTGAAATGAACAAGCCCGAGCAATTCAAAATGCAACACAAGGAATTCAGAATACAGTAACTGGCAAGGGGGATGACAAAATCCTCAGAATTTTCTTATGTGTTTTAACCATAATGGAAATCACTGATTGCTGAAAAGGCCATTGTTTTTAAGAGATGGTGAACTCTGCTACTTTACAGTATGTATAACTAAATTTTGTGAAATATGCTTACACTCTTTCTTGCTGAGAGTTAGATGAGAAGAGCAATACCACTCGCATATCTGTACAGTGAAAGTTAGAGACAAAATTCCCTTTAAAAACGTCATTTAATTTTTACACTTTAAGTGTTTGTATGGATTAAACAACACAGATACAGTGTGTTCAGTAGTGAGCATTAGAGGTACCTTTTGGACAGAGGCAGGCTATCTGTTTCCCTGTTTCTAGTTTTATGCTAAGCTTACTGTCTCCCTGCTCCAGCTTCATACTGAACAACCTTCTTCTAATTCTTGGCAAGGAAGAATACAAGCGTATTTTCCTAAATGTCAAACTATTTCTTTAAATAATTTTGTAAATGGGAATTCAGTAATCAAGACAAACTACATTAATACTACAAACTAACACTATACAGAGTGTACTACAGCACCTACTCTTCATAGTATACTGTTTGCAGAAAGTGGAAAGGGCATAAGATTAAAGTCGAACTATAACTTTAGAAATATATTCATATACTTCATTTAGAAGTAAATATTTTAATAAAATGACGATGAAGAGCATGTAATATGGTTAAAAGCACTTGTAAAAGCTATTAATTGGACTTAATTGGTTGGCATTGCTTTGTCAGACTACTATTTTCAAGGTCAAGAATCAACTTTCAAAAGTGCCATGGAGGAAATCATAACAGCCACAGAGCTCATATGTCTGCTGATCTATCTACATGACAACTAAGCAAACTCCATGCACTCGATACTTAATACGACTGGAAACTTTGGAAAAAGGCTAGTGAGTGGACTTTGAGTCAAATTTGTTTTGTCAAACTATTTTAAATTGAAGTTTTAACATATTTTTTTTTCAGATGAAGCTGGGACACAGTAAACAGTTAAGTGAACTATTGAAATCACAGTCACAGTTTTCAGATTACGGTCTCCAATTAGTGTAGAGATCATCACAATCCTTCTTCTCTTCACAGAGGGGGGGAATGTAAAGCGAGAGTATGGGTCGAAATCTGTGATTTAAAGTGGGTTTTCTTTCATGTATCGCATACGTCTTACACACATAATGATTATAATTGAATGCTTGTGTTTTGGCTGTTCTCTTGGGCTTGCATTTCTTTAAAGTAGGCCTTAGCTAATACAAAGTACATTCAGTGGCCCCCTCACCTGTCACAGACACCAGTGCTGAGCTGACTCTGCATTGTATGGAGCGAGGGGAGATGCAACATGAAGCTCTCAAACAACACAGAGAATAGCTGTGTTCTTGGCAGACCTGCCTTAACCAGCTGCTGTTGGGAAGAAAAGCAACTGCGTAAATACACAACATGTGTGTTTGTGTGTGGTCACATGACAACATCCTTGATAGTCAAGTTGTCAATATTTGGTGCAGCAGGTTTTGTAGGATGGTGATATTTCATATTCTGATATCACAATTCAATCACTTCAACTTGGTGTGAAACATTAATTATATGTAGCACGTTTGCTTTACTTAATAAATAGAAAGAATAGAGGTAAGTGTGTCTTTTAAAAAATGCTATTTGGACCTGGAGCTAGTATGAATGTGCTGACAAACACTAGAAAAGGGTGTTTTATTTTCTTACAGGATAGCGACAGCTAGATGTAAGAACTTCTGCTTCAAAGCTTTCCAATTACTGGAACAGAGCTGCAGCTAGATGTTGCAAATTCAAATAGTTTGGGCGTCTCCTCCTGTGTGTCTTCAGTTTTTATGAGGGGGAAGAGCTGCCATGAGATTTTACAGGCCCATGTGTGACAGAGGTCACACTGTGCCTGACAGAGGTCACACTTTTATGCTTCTTTTTAATGGAGACTTGTAAAGACTTAATAAACAACATTTCATCTCTGATCTTCTGCATGTTTTGTCTGAAGTAGGCCTTCGTTTCATATTAGAAATGTGGAAATTAGTTACTATTTCTTGTTTCCAGTTCTGTTTCTGCTTTTCACACCTTTATGCTATTGCAGTAATTTGACGTGGCTGTTTTTCAAATGAAACAAAGGAACCGTGAAGAGCAATAACAGTCAAAACCCATAAGCACATTCATCCCAAACGTAAAGGACACCACATAACCTCATCTCGGCTTGTCTGCAAACGGTTTCCTGTGTGTATGTTGAGACTCCGGGTGGTGTCTCACGAAGACATCTCTGACTGGTCACACACAGGAAACCAGATGCTTTTGAGGGTTGAACCAAAACACTGTTCAAGAAAACAGCCTTCTAAGACATAAACATGTGACAATCTGTGTGTCAAGACAAATCAGCTTCACTTAAACTGCACCTTGAATAAAAAACAAGGTTACAAAGCACTTCACAGAGAATCACTCTCCAACCAAAACTGTTCGGGAACACCTTGTCCTTTTTAAACACAAACAAGTGACAGACTTATTGTCAAGTCAACTACCTTTAACACAAAAATGCAGAAGAATAAAACAAAAAACAGACCGAACTTAGAAAAAGTGAATCGAAATATCACCTTATTCACAATAGCAAAGCCATAAGAAAGCATGTGTCTTATTGGTTTTTCTAAAACATCAACTAAACATTTCTCTAAAGGTTGCTCAACAAGCAATGGGCAACAATAGCAAACACATAGTTCTCCCTTTCAGTGTGGATGTGAGATTGCCAGCAGCCACAGAGGAGACAGAGCGATGTTGTAAAAATACCAAAGTTCAGGAGTAACACTTCTTCGTCTGGGTCTGTGTGGCTGCTCTGGCCTCTGATCTCTGTCCTAGCTTCCCCTCTTCTCAACATTTGGCTGTCAGTATAAAGCCTCTGGGGAGACACTGATTTGCCAATTGCTGAGACTTAAGATATTGCAAAAGATGCTCGTCTTGTCAAGCACTTGCAAAAGTGGGATTTGATATATGCTTACTCATACAGTATTATTGTAGCCAGCAGCTTTTGACTTCACACTGAGTCAAGTGAAGTTGGCCTACTATTGTGCAGATAACTTCTGAAACAGGGGTCAGCTGTGTTATATTCATTAAGATAATACTGTCAACAGGACAGAGAAGTCTTGGTTTTAACTGGTGTCTTGGTTTATATAATAGCTTCCGGCCTTTTACTCTTTCACTCAGTTCTCTGCTTTCATGTTGATCTCTTCTCGCTTTTGTCAGAGACATTTAACGCAACACTATGGAGACTCAACCCCGCATAGTAGTGGTGTCATCCTCACGACATTATCCCCTCTTATCAAGCCTTTCGTCTACCGCCTCCTTCTGTTTGATTCTTCATGCCCTTGCTCCCACTCCAGTCTACTCTTCCTCCCATGCCAGCTCTGACTGTCCCTGATCTCATCCTCCACCTCTGTGTCCTCTAACCACTTGACACCTTTTCAGATTCATCCCCATCAGTTGGCAGACAGCGTGCATTTCACCCGCAGGGCACAATGCAGCGATCCTCGCGAATCAA